AGACTCTAAGGGGCCACAAGTCCTCCTGTTCTTCTTTTTGCGGATACAGACTAACACGGCTGCTACTCTGAAACCTTTCATTTTAGTAAAGGTTATTGCACATTTGTGGTAGGGGTTAGACGAATACACTTTGAAACAATCTGTCTTATAAGGAGGAGGAATTGGACCTGCTCCCAAAGTGTATTAGTAATAAATTAATATCTTTTAAGTGTATTTGTTCTCTGCGTATATTTGTGGTTTCATAGTAGTCAAAAACACAAAAATGTATTCAACAATTTCAAAGAAAAAACACATTAAATTGCTCTATAATATCAGTATGTATAGAAACCTAAGGAGTATTTAATAAAATACACAGGAGATTATTTCAATGAGCATTTAGATAAAATGATACTAAATTCCTTTTCCAGACAGTTGTCTGATCAGGGAACCACAATTTAGGATCCATACACATTTATTCTCTCCTCACTGAATGAGGGGTCCACATAGATAATAGGTCTCATAAGCAGTAATAGAGGTTTCACATATGAACTCCCTACATGTTGATGGTACTGTAAAATAAATCTCATTGAAACTTATAAATAAAAATAAATTGGGTGTTTGCAATACACTATGGTTTTCTTCTGCAAAACATTTTTCCTTCTTTTCCCAAATGCGTAAGAAGCCTTCAACTAGCTGGCTCTTCATTTTGAGTCTTCATCATTTGTATCCTTTTTTCCAACCTCTCCTTCCATTCAGTTCTGAGTCTAAGACAGGAAACATAAGCACCGATATCACCAGAAAGACTCCAGTCTTGCACATCTCCGGGCTTTGAGAGATACCACCAAACTCATCTTCCTAACATTTCCCACCATTGCTACCATTGGTGCTGCTCTGCCAGCAGTAGCAACAGTGGGAGATCTACTAAATCCTGCTAATCTGGAGTGTCTTCTAGCATAATGAGGAAACTTAACCTGAGCTTTGGGGCTCAGTCATCTCTAGTTTTCATCTCTCCTGGCTTGACAAAGCTACTTTGTAGGTCATCCCTTATTTCTCAAGATTGGCTGCTGCCACCTGCTGGACCACCTCTTACAGTACTTTCTTGGTTTCCTTTGGCACTACTAGATTGATAGCCCTGGAGAGACTGTGTACAGTTAAATCTACAAGATTCTTCTTACCAGGAGCAATGCTTCTTACTTGTTGGCCAGATAGGTTAGGTGAGAGGTGGGAGTTTATTTGTAGTGCAGTAGTACCTAGAGGCCCAATAAGGATCAAGGCACTGTACTAGGCACTGCATAAATTCATAGTAAGACAGTTCCTGGCCCGAAGAGCGAATAGACAAGACAGACAAAAGACAGGAGAAATTATACAGGTGGGGAGCTAAGGATGGAGAAATTAAGGGACTTGCCCAAGGTTACAGTGTAAATCTAAGGCAGACCCAGGAACTGAACTGAACTCAGCTCAGCTCTCACACACTCTAGTCCAGGGCACTAACTGCAACACCATCCTTCCTTCCTCTGCTGTTGGATTTTAACCTTTTTTCAAAAAAAAAGGAAAAGGGTGGGTAAATTTTGAACGCTTCCTTTATTTGGGACCAGCTTATGTAAAAAGATGCATCTTCACTAGGAAAAAAAAAAAAAGGTGTGTTCTTACCTCGGGGTAACCAGCACAATCTAAGATCCTCTGAAGACAAGGCAGTTTATAGTTTTCACAGGTTAGCAGGCTGAGGTAAAGACTAGAGGGGAGTTTAGAGTTTGCCTTGGCCTGCTGACACATGTTGAAACTACCTTGTTTTAATTAGGGATTGACCTTGTATTAGTTACGTTAGTTACTCTGAGTTAAGAACACACGAACACACATTTTTTCCTAGCAAACACAAGGTTAGAAAGGCTAAATGATCTAAGGCCAGATTCTCTGCTGTGGTTGAACTGAGGCTCCACACAGCACCAAACAGTGAGGGGTAAAGGTAGCATTAGTGACTTGAGCAGGGCCCAAGAATGAACTACCCTCTCTTATCTTTTTGAGATAGCCATTGAGGTCATGGTTGAGGCACACAGGGGGAGGGGCAGCGCATGAAGCTTTGTTGTTGTATATTATACAAAGAACCCCAATTTCCTGGGCGGTCATTCTGGCATCTATTGCATGTACTAAATGTATTTATTTATTTTTATTTTTATTTTTTTAAAGGATTACAATATCAACCCACAGAAACAAGCATCCCTTCTCCCCCTCCCCTCCACTTACTTTGGCAGAGCACTTCTCTGTTGACGTTCTTTTTCAATTTGCAGATGCTTAGTTTGTTTTTCAATTGTCTTTTCCCAGAAGTCTGTTAGTTCCTCAGTTTCACATCCAAACACTTCAAAGCGCACATATTGACTATTCATTTTCTGTAAAGGAGAAAACCCAAGTGACCAGTTATCGGTCCTTTTCTATTTTGCTGGCTGGAATATGGTGCTACTGCAGCATGCTTTAGAAGATCTTTACAATACTGAATTCACATGCAGTCTTTTTACCGTGGAAGCAAAAGAAGAACTTAATGGGAATGAATCATGCTTCTACTTCTTCATTCAGAAAGCGGCACTTGAGGTATATGCTGTACTACAGTAATTACAGTTCCTAATTGTTCACCTTAAAGTGCCTTTGGTAAAATATCTTTCACCTCCATATAATTGTGGTTGTGACCTTTTAGCACACAATTCAGGATAAAGTTATTGCACTCACTTTAGCATAATGATGAAGACTTTTTGCATGTGCTGTGCGCATAAGTTAAAGAGATAATATAAAAGTAACTGACATTTGTAAGATTTTTCCAAGGTTTCTCTGAAAGTAAATTGCCAACAGGCTAATTACCAGCTCATCTTAACACCTGCAATAATGAGTAAACCCATTTCTGGCAAGTATGTCCTCATAGTATCTTTACACTTCCAAAAGATGTAGGCAAGCATGTCTTTATTTTACTATTTAATTATTTATACAAAGATAATAGAAACGTCCCCCAAAGTTCCCATGTGAAAGACTTTACAGTGAAATTAACAGCACTCTTAATAGCTTAGTCTTCCATTCCACTTTATTTCCACTGATTGTAGTTGATATTGATACATTTTGTAATGTGGTAACAAAGGATGATAATGACTTGCACATTTGGGGTTACCAGGGTGAAACTCTCCAGAGGAAGAGTTAAGGGTGTCAGGCAGTAACCAATAAGGCTATTGTGTGGGTTAAAGCACTTTCAGTATAGTTATTATTCCTTTCAGAGCTTCTTTTTGTATTGCAAAGCAAGTGCACAAAAGGAGGGTTAAGGGTTCTCCTTTCTGGTCAGGATGTTCTTGGTAAGAGTTTTGGGTTAGGGCTGTTTCTATTCTTGAGGGCTAAGTGCTAAGCATGAGTTTTGCAGTCAGACTGGAGGGAGGTAGCTGCTTCTGGGGCTGGAGCAGAGCAGTGCCTCAGCTAAGGTTTATGCAAAAGACAGTTGCCTTTGTGCAGTGTGTTGCCATCTTGGTTCAAGGAAACAGGATGGTGTGTACATTTTGTAAGGAAACAAATCTCCTAGAAAATACCTGACTCCACAATTTCTGCTACAAATGGGAAACTGACCTGTCGGAATCAAAATCTGCTACTGCTTGGCAAAGGGGAACAATAACAATTGAGGTGAGTGAAAACCTTCCCCCAGCCTGATGGAATGAATCGAGGTAGCTCTTCACGGGGAGCCTCATGAAGTGTTCCTTGTTGTAGTCCCTGATCCTGCAATTGTCTTTATGAGGGCATACCTCTGTGCCTACCCAAAGCCCCATTAACATCAGTGGGGCTGTGGCGGCCCAGGCATGTGATTACGTGCAATCATCAATGGGAGCACTGGGGCCTGAATCAACAAAATAGAACAGATATAACTTGGCAACACATCTGGGCCCTGAATATGGAAAGTATTGGATCATGTACCCATGCTTAAAGTTACATACATAAATAAGTGCCTTCCTGGATAGGCCCCACAGAATAAGATAATGCCATTTTTGCATAGTCTTTACTGTTTTGTTAACATAATCATGCTCTAAATCACAACATATATTACAGAATTACATGCTTTTTTGCTTCTGCTGGCCATTCTCCTGGCATTCCTTCATGCTCCCAACATGTTCCCTGTGTTCCATCCTCCCATCCCCATCTATTTCAGGGACTTCCTGCAACTCCCCCCAATCTCCTCCCTGCCAGGGTCTCTGTGTGCCCCCCAGTCTCTTTCCTGCCATACCAAAGTCTCCCATTCTTTTCCCTATGCCAGTGACTCTGTGCGCCTCCCTTCCCCATACCAACGTCCTGCACCAGGGTCCCTCAGTTTTCTCCACTAATGGTTCTGTGTATCCCTGCACAGCAGGGTCCCCCATTCTCCATGCTATACCAGAGGCTCTGTTCATCTCCATTCCCTTCTCCCCCCCACACCAGGGTCTTCCATTCTCCCAGCATGTCAGGGATTCTGATTCCCCTCCAATCCCTCTTATGCCCATGCTAGGGTCCCCCATTCTCTAGTCTACACCATGTCAAGGGTGCTATGTGTCTCTCCTCCCCCGCCGTCCCCATCAAGGCACCACATTTTCCTCACCATGTCTAGGGCTCTGTTTTCCCCTATTGCTCTCTCCCTATTCCTGCTATGATCCTCCATTCTCTGCAACATGCCAGGGAAGCCCTGTGTTTCTTCTTCCCTCGCCCCAGACTGCCTTTCTTTCTCCCAGATTGAAAGGAAGGGGTGGACGGCTAGTGCCGTCTTTCTTCCCACTTGGGGCAGGCTGAGGAGACAGGACATTAGGAAGGAAGATGGAATGAATGAAGCCTTCTCTCTCTTCTCCCTCTGGCTGTCCCTGCTGGCTAAGAATCTGCTCCATTGGTCCCCAGCAGGGAGAGTAATTATTTCTCTTATGTTTTTCAAGGCAGGTCTACACGGAAAAGTTACATTGGCATAGCTATGTCTCTCAGGGGTGTAAAAAATCCACACTCCAAGCGGCATACCTAAGCCAACTTAACCCGCAATGTAGACAGTGCTAGGTTGATGGAAGAATTCTGTTGACCTAGCTACTGCCTCTCAGGGAGGTAGATTACTGTAGGGAACGTCTACACAGAAGTGCTACAGTACAATGGCTCAGCTGCAGCAGTGTTTTAAGTGCACACGTAACCTCAGTGTGTCAACATGTTAAACTCTCATGAGAGATGAGCAGGGGAAATGTTATGCTGCAAGGGGTTAATGGGTGCCATCAAGAGATGACAGGAAGTCTACGTGTCCCTCTTTTCCCTCTTTTGGCATTCTGATTTCCCTCCAAATGAAGAGGGTTCTGGCCATTGATGTCTAGAACGTTCCCTGAAATTTTGGAATAGATCAGATGTGCATCAGATTCAGAAGTTATGGCACGACAGACAAATTCCATCAAGTTGAGTGCAGGGGCTCGCAAGCTTGGACAACTATTACAAGTGGCACATTCATGTGCCTTTAGAGACTAGGAGGGTTCTTTTAGGGGTATTCCTGCAGCATTGTGGGGTTGGCATTGGCTCTGCCAGTAGAATAAGTCTGTACAGCAGCTGGGAGGGTAGACAGATACGTACTAGCTCTGCTTGAGCTAATGTACTAAAAATAGCAGTGTGGGTGTGGCCATGGTGGCATATGCAGCAGCATGAGTTACCTGCATGAGCACAAACCTGCCTGACCTCCTGGGTACTGTTGCTGTGGCCACATTGCTGTTTTGCTCACGCTTTTCTTTTGCTCAGGGGAGTTGTGGGGGTAACTATACCAATACAAAGCACCAATTTTTCAGTATAGTTGCATTCATGCTAGGAGCATTTTGCTGGTATAGTATACTGGTATTCCTATACCAGTAAAGTACTCCTAATGTAGACATAGCCTTGAGGCCAGGTCTACATTACAAAGTTTTGCCAGTATAGCTATATTGGTTAGGAGTGTGTAAAAATAAACACCCCTGACTGATATATCTATGCCGGCAAAAAAAAACAACAGCCACCAAGCAACCCCTGTGTAAACACAACTATATTGGCAAAAGAGTATTTTTTCCATTATAGCTTATGTCATCTGGGAAGGTGGTTTAACTATACGGTCAAAAGATTGCCTTATGATGGGATATAAGCTGCATCTCCACTGGAGGCTCTGCTGGTATAGCTGTCCCAGTATGGCTATGTCTACACTACCACTTATGTTGGCAAAACTTATTTGCTCAGGGGTGTGAAAAACACGCACCCCTGAGCAACTTACGTGTCGCCAGCATAAGCAGTAGTGTGCGTTGTGCTATGTTGGTGGGAGAGCTTCATTGTGGGTGGTTTTATTATGTGGACGGGAGAGCTCTTTCCCATCAGCAAAGAGCAGCTACACGTGCGATCTTACAGTGGTGCAGCACCATCGTTACAGCTGTGCTGCTGTAAACTCGCTAGTGTAGACTTGGCCTATAGCTGTATCAGCAAAGCCTTTCTAGTATAGACATAGCTTGAGACAAAGAGAATGAGAAACTCTACTGACCACCAATAACGGCATGGGGGAATGAGACAGCAGGTTATTGCTTCTGAAGTTGAGATATTGTTGAACTTGTACTAGAGACCATAAAATGGCTCCAATAGGCCACTACCAAAGTATTGAAGGGATAGAGTTCTATTGGTTTTTCCATTAATCAGTACAGCATTTACCTTCATTTTACTCAGAAATGGGGAAAGTTAGAAATTATACAGGATGCAAAATTGCAAAAGCCTATGAATTAATTAAAAAAAAATCAAAACAAAATCTTAATTGAATATATTCTGATACTCATCTTGTACCTTCAAGGCAGTTTACATTCAAAATCAGCCTGAGAAATAAATTTGGGGGCAAATTTTATAAAATAATAATCTCTCTCTCTTTCTCTCAATGGGACTTTTAATGGGTTAATAGCAATGCCTCTGCGCCCCATGTTACAGCTAGAAAATGTCATTATTTCCAAAAATATCCTTTTGTAGTCTTCATTAAGCATGGAACAGATTTTAGATTATACTTATACATCCTGTTTTCCAAATGATGTGGTTTTGCATGAAAATGTCATTACAACCATCTTCCACAACATTTAATTTTTAACAAGTATGTAGGGTTCCTATGCCTTGTGTGAATTTGTAGCAATTATTTGTAATTTATTTTAATCAGAGCTGCAGAGAGCTAGTAAAATAGTCCCCTAGGCTTGCTTGGAAAAGCTTGAAGAAATTGCTGCCATTCACCTGCCAGGCATGGTATGAAACGCAAAGCTGGGAGCTCATAATGTTCATGCTTTAATGTGTCAGTGAAAAAACTTACTTCTTTACTTGCTTAACATGGGGTTCTTCATTAGTTTCCACTGTTAGGTCACCTGATGTTCTGTGCAGAAATACTGGGAAGAAT